GGCCTCGGTTCGGGCCGGGGAGGGCTGCGGTAGGCCGCGCGGGCCCCGCGCACCGCGGGGAAGCGCTCGCATGACCCGCTCCGTGACGGGAACGGCCTGCGCGGCAGGGACAAGCGGCCCGCACCGGCCCGGCCCGGCCCGCTTCGTCTGTGGGTGACGGGGCTCGCATGCCCTGTCTGTGACCCTGCACCGCCACGTACATACGCTGTACGTACACCTTCCATCGTTTTGCCTAGTTGAGGCTTTTCTGCCTGTACAGATAACATTTGCTGTCTGTATCTTAGGGATAGGTGGACCCTGGCACACACGGAGGGAATGTGTGTGCTCTGCACGGGGGGGAAAAGGCCTCACGAGGTGAGGTGAGAAGTGACAACTTTCCCTCTGTAATTATTCTATCTACAGGCAGAAAAGCCTCGGTGAGGCGGGGTGAGCTGAGGCAAGGCTTTCCTTCCTGTGTGAGGAGTGCACACTGTGTGTTCTCTCTCTCTGTAGTGGTATGTACTATCTATATAGACAGAAAGGCCTTGACAAAGAAGGGCAAGGCTTTTCAGTCTTTGTACAGAATATATACTGTATATTCTCTAAACAGAAAGGATAGTGTTGGCGAGCCTCCTCTGTTGGCTACTATTGGCAAAGGATCTCCAAACGCTTTAGCACTTCCCACAGTCAATCACATACTAAACCGTATTCATTTTGACTGTACCACCGATCTGTCGTCTGTCATTCACTCAGACGCTCTTCAAGACCGAATTCATTGCTCAGGTTCTTTTATTAGGTACAGAAATCAAAAGCACAGTAACGTACACCGGTGCTTGTATTGTCAAGACCAAGTCCAACAACACTGAGTCACCTTTACATGTTACATATATTTGACCACTTCCTTCCCTGTTTGTATGCTGTTTTTCCTACTGGTTATTATGCATGTCTGTAATTAAATACTTTAATACTTTTTTCATTACTTTGTATGCTAAGCATATGGTCCAGCTCTGACTGTTACTGTTGTTATGAAGCATGCAGAACATCTTTAAATATTGGAGGAACTGGCTGTATTTTAAAGTTTCTCAGCCTTTGCACTCCATCAAACTATGCAGAGCCATCTTGCACAGGCCTCCGTTAGTCCTTTGAGAGACTGTAGATCCATATCTGAAAGAAATAGTTTCTTCTCCATGTCCTAATAAGCTAGGGCAAGAAATAATGGGCTCAAAATGCAACAAAGTTCAGGTGAGCTATAAAGAAACGTTATGTTAAGATACTAAAGGACTAAGTGACATGGGAACAGTGCAGCATTGCCATAACTGCAGGGCTCTTAACCAGGGTTACACAAACATGTTGAGAGTGAGATTGTCATCCAGCTTTGGTGCAAGTGACCTCTTGGAGTTCCTCCCAGGGCTATATTGTTGTGATAGGGTTAACGAATTCTGCTTTTAAAGCTGTTCTTCCTTCTTTGCAACCCATCCTCCATCCCACACAAAGTACTTGTGTGAAATGAATGCATGACAGCAAAATAATTCAGAAATATGGACGATCAGTTGGTTTGTCTTTTCATTCTCTGTGCTGTTTTAGAAGGTGTGTAACTGCTTCCTTGTACCACGACTACATTTTGTCACAACATGATACACATGTGAATCTGTGTTTTGACACAGGTTTTTCCTTTCCAAAGTCTTGTTTCTCTAAATCCTTGTACTGTGAGACTATAAATATGTCCTATATCACACAATCTGTGAAAATTACACATCAATTTATGATCAAGCACAAGGGGATATATATCATTGTGCTAAAAGCAAGAAGAGGCAACTGGGAATTTTCCCATTGTTTTGAATGCTTTTACAAAACCTTCTACATGGCTTAATTAATTATTTTCTGCAAGCAACAATTACACTGTGGTTAAACCCATTCATTCCTAGGAAATCCAGATGTTTCGGCAGCTAGAACACAGGTCCCTAATGGAAATCCACCGTAAACTCAAATCCATTAATTTTGTTTTCCTCATTTATAATGAATCTGAATGCATTAGCAAGAAATGAGTATTAATGTCTGCTGTTTATGTTATCATGCAGCAAATAACACATGAGCTGGCTCACCTGGGGCATTGCTTCCACTTAGTCTGTAACAAGCTTACTGGACTAACAAATTCTTTGGCCAGTTGGTGAGGCTTAATCACTTTATTTTTACTTTTGGTGCAGGAAATTTTGCAATGACAGAAAAAGGTCCCTCTGTCATTTGGGTTTGGGGGAGCAAAACATGAAAGTGAATCTCATTAACTGTAATCTGATAAAAGGGACACTAAATGTCCAAACCTAGAGAGCAAAAGTTATTTTTGCAAGGAGGAAAATCTGGGAAGAAAATCATCACAAACTGAGTTAGAAATAATTTTGAGCTTTAACATAACTAAGCCAAGTCTCTTCCATGTTGCCATACATTTCAGAAAGAGAATGCCAAAATTAGGTGCTTTATAATCTCCATCAACAAAATATAGCTGTGGGTCACCCTATCTCACTAATAAATTTCTAATTATTCTCCTGCTTTTCTTACAGGAAGTGGGCCACTTCAGTGCAAAGTAATAAAGCTTCACATTTTCAGAATCAGAAGTCCCAAATTGTGTTAACATCACTGTATTTGGGTAAGTTGCCTGTAGTCACTGTAGTGCGATTGCTTTCCAGAATGAGAAAGGCAAATCAAGACTCTTGATGTCACTATAAAGTGTGCCTTGGCTTGGGTCACCTCTGCATCTGACTGAAGGATAAATCCCTGCATCCACTGGGTGAGATCTGTATGATACTTCATTTGTAGCTGGCTAATTAGTAGAAGAGGCCCCAGGGTAGTCATGCTCCACTTTAAATAAAAATCTTTCAAAGATCTAAAACCTACCAGAGAAAGAGAAATCAGTTGTGATGCAGCTCAGCTTTCTTACACATGTACAGATTTACTTTCCATGTAGTTTATCTTATTTTTTATCCAGGTAACTCCAGAGGAGTTCTGTGTCTCAGCAATGAGCGGGGCTACCGTTTGACTGCCTGAAGAACTTGACATGTATTCAAGTTGGGTACGCAAGACTGAACTGTGCTAATTTTTGTGGGTTTTTTTTCTTTCCCTTTCTTTTCTTCTGGGGTATTTATACCTGTATTGGAAAGGCTCAGAAAGCAGCAGGATCTGCCTGGCTGCGGTTTCACCAGTCCTAAGGAAAACCTTATGCATGCACATTCTATACGGACATCATCTTTACCAGTCCCTGTGCAGATTATAGGATAAAGGGGACTGTCACTGCCACTACCAACCTAATGGTGGCAATCCAGCCACCTTTGACTACCTTGGCATCAACAACAGTCTAATTGTCATCATCCTAGCATGGCTGTAAGTGATGTAAGAGACCAAAGTGATAAGCAGTGCTAACTGCTACAGCTGATAGTTGCTGGATGCAGCTAATCATTATGACCTCTGGGTCTGAGACTTGAAGTCAGAGTAGTTGTTCCATTCTGTAACCCCTAACTATGAGTGTGATCCCTATTCACAGTGTAGTCTATAATTTCTGTGATACCTCTTCAAATCTGGAAATATGACATAAATTCTTACTTAAACTGATAACTCCTGATTGGCAATTATGTCTGGTAAGCCTCCTGAGTATGCGGTGTAGATAAACATATATATCTATATTTAGGCTTGTAATACTCCTGGGTGGTTTCATCAGCTGCAAACTTCAGTCTACGGCATTAGTACTTAGAAATCACCAGGCAAGCTATGACTCAGGAAGAACGTCAGCTGTATCCAGAGATCTAAATATTTTCATGAAATTGTCTTCAAAGGGAAACTAGCCACAAGCTTTCGTCTGACCTTGGAGGACAGCTAAACAAAAGTGAGAGAGTCTGGGGTTTTTTTGCAGCTGGTGTGCCACATCCCAACTGTAGAAGCGTAGCAATGCCGTGATCCAAACAGGCCTAGCTTAAGCTCATGAAACCTTTTCAGTTTTCAGCTATTAAAGTTTTATGTTTTTCCAGTAATTTTTATAAGACCTGTAAAACTAATAAACCCCTGAAAGATCTATTACTCTCTGGCAGTTTGATATTTTATAGGTTTTCCATTAAGATGGAGCAATGACTCATCTAAACCACTGGAGCTCCCTTCTTCCTCCTGTGGCTCCAGATGTGCCGCTTGCCGCCAAAGCAAAGCTTGCC